CTTCAGAATTAGGACTGCTCTGCAACCGGAGTCCTGCAGGTCAAACTGTCCGGTGTGATGGTTGGAAGAATGACTTTGGTGTGAGAGCCTTGCATGGTCTAAAACATTTCTCATTGTTTTCAAGAACTTTCACCCTTCCCTAATAGTCCACTGCACTCCCATATAGTCAGCAGTTGGTTATTTAAAGTACCATTCTTTTTCCTTGGGCCATTCTGCCAGGTTACTAGCTTATTTAACGAAAGAGGCATTCTCACATAGTCCTTAATAGTGGTTTGTGGATGTGAGAGAGGGATTGATATAATGGGAGCAGGGTAATGTTCTGATACTTTATCCCAGGCCATTGTCTTTTGAGATGTGACATGAGTTGTATACAATATAGTCCAAGTACCAAGTTTGTCTTTTTTTGGGTCTATTTTAAGAGAGAGGATTATTTTGAGTTATTTTTGTTCAGTCACCCCATCATGTCCAACTCTTTGTGACCCCATGGATTGCAGCACTTCAGGCGTCTCTATCCCTTACCATCTTCTGAAATTTGTCCAAGTTCATGTCCATTGCATCAGTGATGCCATCTTCTGATGCCCTCTTTTCCTTCTGCCCACAATCTCTCCCAGCATCAGGGACTTTTCCAACAAGTCAGCTGTTCACATCAGGTGACCAAAATACTGGAGCTTCAGCTTCAGCATCAGTCCTTCCAATGAGTATTCAGCGTTGATTTCCCTTAAGATTGACTGGTTTGATTCCCTTGCTGTCCAGGGGACTATCAGGAGTCTTCTTCAGCACCAGAGTTTGAAGGCACCAATTCTTCTGTGCTCTGCCTTCTTTCCAGTCCAGCTCTCACAAGTGTGTGACCACTGGGAAGATCATTGCCTTGACTATACGGACATTTGTCTGCAGAGAAACGTCTCTGCTTTTCAACACACTGTCTATGTTTAACCAAGGCTCAAAAGAAGGTTGAAAGCCTTACTCAAGGTTACACAGCTTAGACCCAAGGACCATCCAGAACTGTCAGAACTTGACTAGGTATCTTACAGATGATCTTCTCCTTTAGTCCACATAACTCTGAGGTAGGTATTATAACATCAATTTGACATTTCAGAAAATAAAAGCAATAACTGAACTTACAAGAGGTTGAAACAGGTAAAAGCAAACTACATTTCACACCAGCTAAGGTAGCAATACTCACTCTGCGTGCAGCCTAGTGGGCTGTCCAGGGACACAATGACTGCTTCCCCATTAGGAAGATTCACTTTTTTTTTTCTCCTGTGATCACAAAGCAGGTTTTAAAAAGTGTCACACATAGGGGTTCAGGATGGAGGGGACACATGTATGCCTATGGCTGATTCATATTGATGTATGGCACAAACCATCACAATATTGTAAAGTTAATTATCCTCCAATTAAAGTAAGTAATAAACTGGAAGCTTTTAATCAGCACTGGCACAGACAGCAGAGGGGTGGCTCCAACTGGGCAGGCTCTGAAGGGTTTGTTAACCTACACGGTGACCCTGCATGGACTCGTCTCAGCATCACGACCGCCCCGTCTGCCTTCTCCCGCTTCATATGGGCAAAGGCTTAGAAAATAAAGAACCTTGAGACCACTGGTTTCCCGCAATTATTTAATTATCTCTGCACAACTATTTTTTGTAGAATGTTAGCTGTAGAGGACCAGAAATAAATACAGCTTAAGATTTGAACCATATCCTGCTGTACTTTTTCCTAGAAGCCCAAAATAGAATTTTCTAACACCTTTTGTGGTTGGAAATACTGAATTTAAATAGGATTGCAGATATAAACATGTAGATTGATGTGTCTATTTCCGTAAAATGCAGCCACCATATTGGTGAAGTATGGATACTAAAATTAATAAAATGACAAGTAGAGAAAAAAAAAAACAACCTAAATCTGGAGACAGGCACTGTAGTGACAATAAGCCTTTACATAACGTTAGGGACTAATAAAAGATCTGAAAAATGAGTAACTTGCTTTATTTTGTTGAGGGTCTCTTCAGGTCACAATTTTCTGTTGTGTACATATTTAAGATGACATACTTTATTGATAATTAAAAAAACAGGGCTTCTCTGGTGGCCTGATTAAGAATCTGCCTGCCAGTGGGAGGTATATGGGTATGACACCTGGTCTGGGAAGATTCCACATGCTGCCAGGCAGCTAAGCCAGTGTTCCACACCTACTGAACCGCAAGCGCCCTATAGCCTGTGCTCCTCCACAATGAGAAGCCTCTACCGCACCTAGAGAGCAGTCCCTGCTCGCTGCAACTGGAGGAGGCCCACACACAGGAACGCAGGCCGAGCACAACCTAAACAAATAAATCCATCTTTAAAAAATAATTTAAAAAACATGTTACTATTACTGATACCCGTGGCAATGACATGGATAATTGTTCTTTTAATTTTTAAGAGGATAAAGCTGAGAAATTGGGGCTTACCTTGTGGTCCAGTCAGTGAAGAGTCTGCCCGCAATGCAGAGAACCCGGGTTTGATCCTTGGTCAGGAAGATCCTGTGGAGGAAGAAATGGTAACCCCCCTCCAGTATTCTTGCCTGGGAAATCCCATGAACAGAGGAGCCTGGTGGGCTACAGTCCATAGAGTCACAACAGTTGGACACGACTGAGCAACTAAACAATGACAAAGCTGAGAAATCAGAAAGATGAAAACAGTTGGATCTGACTGCATGGTTAAAGAATAAATCAAACTCCACTCACCTGTCTTGTCCTTTTCAAACAATGGCCCCATGTGCCTCTGAACTGCCATGGAAGTATCCGTCTTATATTCAGGTTTGCAAACAGTTCCAAATGGTTCCTTTACTGTCTGGATTAAGTGACACAATTGGTTTAAATGTGGTTGAGTTAGGAAGCAAAACAGTATCAACATCTGATGATTTTTTTTCTATAAAGGTAAAAATTTATATTAGATGCCTAAAATTAAACTTTAATTCAAAGGATGATCTATTATAATCACCTTTTTTAAAGGCAAACCATGTAAACAGGAATTACTCATACTGGAAAAATAATCAATAGGTGAAAATCAATGTCATAACACTTTATGGTTCAAATGAGAAAACTGGATACAGTGTATTAATGTATCACCAGAAAAATGAGGTCTACACTTCCCCAACACAACATACACACTGGATTCTGCTGATCATTTAGGACTCTGGAAATGGTTTAAGCATCTTAGTCATTTGGATTCTAAGATATAAACCAAAACATACTATCTTATTGTATGGCACCAATTAAAAACAGAAACATCTCTAAGAAATTACAGGGCCAAGAATGTTTATTTTACATCTTTGCTGCTTGATATAGATGAATCTATATAGGTGAATACTGTGACTTTTTCTTAGATCTGCCAGTGTAATCAACAGTTCTACATCAAAGTCAACCACAACCGCACCCAACCTTAATCTGGCTTGAGGCTCAGAGAAGCTATTCATTATAAAGAGGTGTATCTGAGGCTCTTCCTTACATCCTGGATTATGCAAGTCAACTGGTTGCCACAGTTGAGTGGATTAGCTGCCACAGTGACCTCCCACCACAGCTACATCACTGAAGGGGTGAAGGAGGGAGGGTACATCAGCACCTGTAAGGTTGCCAGGAGGAAAAGTTTAAATTGGCATTATTATTTAATTATGTTATTTTAAACAAATCATGTTTGGCTTTAAGTAGAGACAGTGAAACAGGTTGAAGTTGTAAATTATGGGTAGGGCTGTAGAAGAACAGGAAGACTATAAAAATTACAGAGGGAGAGATAATATAGTTATAAAACAGTGCTATATAATAAGAGTTTTCTTTATAAGAAGGCTTTTTTCTTTTTCAGACCTTTAAAGCACAGATCATACCACAGTTCTACATCAGAGGTCAGCAAACTCTACCAAATGATTTACTATTAAAACGGATTGTAAATAAGCTGGGTTTCATGGTATATATATTTTGTTAACAACTATTTAATGCTGCTGTTGTACCTCAAAATTAGCCACATACAATATGCAAATGACTGGGTGTGGCTGTGTTCCAATAAAACTTTATTTACAAATAAGGGTGTCAGGCCAGATTTCAAGGAAGAGCTGAGTTTACTAATTCCCCTTCTAAATCACCACAGAAATACAATGTGAGCCACATATGCAATTTAAAATTTTATAGCAGCTACACAAAAAAATAAGCAGGTGAAATTCATTTTAATATTTTATTTAATCCAAAATATCGCAAATATCATTTCAACAAGTAATCAATATAAAAAGCTATCAATGAGATACATTTTAAAAAATATGTCTTCAGACCTGTTGTATTTTGTACACTTAGCATCCCAGTCATTACCAGGGCTCAGCAGCCGCATGTGGCTGGTGGCTACCAAACTGCACCATACGTTCTGGATCTTCTGTGCTGGGATTTCTACAGCTATCTGGAGGTTGGCAACAGTGCTGGGATTTGGCTCTTGAAAAGCTGGGGATATAATTATGCTGCCTCTGGGAGACAGGACGAGGGATTAAAGCTTTTGGGAAGAAATATGTGGCCTCAGACACTAGCAGTTGAGGTAGCCCATGATTCTAGGGCAATGTAACTAGACCAGTGATATAGTCAGACTAGGTTAACTTGCCAATGCAATGAATGAACACACATGCAAAATGCTAACTGCCATTAAGAGAGCGAGTCTTTAGCACTTAGACTGTATCAGAATTTAAACCATATACGGATGTGGAAGATACCTGTGTAGCAAGGAAAAAAAAACTTCAAAAATTAAATTGAATTTTTCAAAAGATTTAAACAGTCTAAATGCTTTTTCAATTACCTCTGTCTAACACAGTATAATGCTAGTCACCAATAGTATGTTAACATGTTTTTAACATGTTACTAAAAGGTAATCATAATCCTTATTTTAAGCCTGGGGAAGTTCTTCAGTATTTAAACCCAAATTTCTAAGTGATTAAATCAGCATTTCCAAATTAAGAATGGACATAACTTTTTGTTAATAAAACTTAGAGGCAAGTGTTTTTAACAAAAAATTTATTACCAAAATACAATATTAAAGTCAATACATGACAAACTCCTGTAAAGCAAAATAAATTATTCTAACATTGTACAGTATTTCCAAAGGTAGTTAAAGAAGCGCTAAGACCTTGCTTCGCTGTTTACTGAACAGATAAAACTGTTCTACCATGAACACAATCCTAGAGTTTTAGGCGTTAAGGCATGCAGCTTGATGTGCAGGACAATTTTACAAAATGCAAATCATCCTATTTTAATAAGATACAGTGTCAGAATTAACTGTAGTCTTTACATGTCAGTGTTTCGGAAATTTTCAGACTTTGGCTATAGAAGCAATGCCGTAGTGTTACACAATACTTATTTCTTAAAAAAATACATGTATTCATGTCCATGAATATCAAACTCAAATTTCTATTAAATATATTTTATAGAATATTACTTAGAGCACCTTGCTGTACAATAAAAAAAAGATTAAATAAGTGTCTATGAAAACTAAAAATATAGTAAGTCTCAATAGAGAAGCCTGCTTGTTTCTGTCAAGCCAAGTACATTGCAGGAAGATACAATGTAAACATAGGTGCCCACCGCTCAGATTTGTGAGAAGAGACCAAAAAAAAAAATAGTAGCAAAGCCACCGATAGCTACCTCAAATAGATGAAAGATCTAGAATAAAGGCTTCTGTCAGTGTCACTACACTGTGCTGGCTGGACTCAGAACTTGAAGTCTACAGGTCAACTGGAATATAGGCATGGTACTGTTAGAATGCTGGGGATACCAACCATATACTGGGTTACTAGAGAAAGAGAGAAAATGATAGAGCCCTGATAAAGTATTATTTATAATGATCAGAATGCATCATCTTCCCCCTCCCCACCTCTGCCTTATCCAGTAAGCTTGTTTTAAAAACTATGGTCACTATCAAATCTTAGAAGTTAAGTGTTGAGCGTGGAAAACAAATACCGAGTTTTGTATAATAAAAGATCGAGTACCAGTAAATGTTATTCCTATATAAAGAGAATTCCTGCTGATTATTTTAATACCTATCTCTTCTAGAATTAAAATTGCATATTTAGTCTTCATCAGTACTTTTAGAAATACTCAATTGTTCTTGGTTGAGACAGTTAACTTAAGGCTTGTCACAAAACTGTAATGGGAAAGTACAGAACATTTTTGGTATATGGTTCCTCCTACAGGCCAGGAGAAAGCTTTTACAGATATTTTAGGCTAGAGTCAGATGAATATTTAAAGACTTTTGAACTTCTGGGTTAATTTTTTTTCCCATGAGCTAGGGAAATTTACATTTGTGATTCCAAATGGAGAATTTAAGTAACAACCAATGGAAGTGGTTTAAGGAAATGAAGAAAGTTAATTCAAAAATTCATTGTTGAAATTTTGGGCATGTTTTTTAGTTATTAGTATTTTCCAAATGATTATATAAAATTAAAGCCAAGGAAAATTTATGAAACAAAAAAATTCTTCTAAGGTTGTCAGTTTTCAGAATAATAGATTTTTATAAAGAAACACTCAGCCAGAGCCACCAGTAATGAAAAAACTGAGTGAAAACAATATAGTAATGATGGAACCATTTAAAATATTTCATTTGAATTTGAAATAAAATTTCATTGTGTCTTAATCCTGAAAACAGGAGAAAATGAGAAAACCCATTGTATGGGGTCTTGGGTAATACAGTTTAGTATATATGAATTCATCTCTCTTAAAACCAGATATCAGAAATGGATTAACTTTCACAAATAAATTAAAGCTACCTAAATTAAAGATCTGCAAAGTTACAATGAATTCTGTTTGTTCAAATATCACCATCAAATGAGATTAAAAAAAAAATCAGACAATATTTCTAGTGCCTGGCCCCACTTAAATAGTTCCTAATGCTATCTGAAAAATGTAAATTCATTCAATTCATACCTGGACTTTGGGAAGAGAATTCTTTCCTAAAATGTGTCTACAGAGTATCCTATTCAAAAAGTTCTCTTTTCGATGTTTTCTAAGCTTATGAGAGTCACAGACTTAGCTCTAGAGGATGAAAAGTCAAGTTCAGAAAGAGCACCATGAAGGTGGCGCAATGCATGGTGCACCGGCCGCTTTTTGATTTGTAGGCAGAACTGACATTAACAGAACAATGCATACATAAATGATCAGGATTACAAAAGCAAAACCAAAAACTCTGTTCTCTTTACCCTTTGAAATACGCTGTAATACAAAATGTGTAATGAACGAGAAGATTTCATCTATCTGATGGCGAGTTTTCACTGGCTTCCCATGTGTCCTATTGCACACCAAAAAAAAATGCAATTTCCTGGATAGGAGAAACCCAAATGTTTTTTGTTATTAAAAGTTTTGGAAACACTCTGAATTTTTACTATATTTTAGCCACATTTGGTTATACTTCGTATGCTAAATATAACTAGATAAAAAACTAAAGGAAATAAAATCTCAATAGTAGTACTCATTAGAAGGGGCTTCTGAATTTCATCCCACCTCCCCTAAAAGATTTTTATTTAACAGTTTAAACTATTTCCAAGGTCTCATGGCTAGATGCAGTTTCCTACTTTGTTGTTTTAACAGACTTTTTAAGATAACAAGCATGGTCTAGTTTAGAAGAGTGGATTAGAAGGCCTACGTAACTACTGAGAAAACTGGTGTTTCTATCAACACTCTGAAAAGAATCTCTGAGAAGTGCACTGTGCTCAACCAGTCACCATTTTTACGAATCTTGAGTTTTGATTTGAGGTTGGTCGGAATTCACCTTTCTCCTCTTTTGCTCACAAGACATTCACTGTAAATTTAAGACAATAATTTACTTTGTAAATGGTTACTTATAATCTAGATTTGGATCTAGAGATCTCTTTTCTTTCTAAAGAGTAAAGTATTAATAATATATCTCAGGTTGGGTATAGATTTATTCCTATCAATCTGGCAAAAGATTTCAATTGATCATCTCAAAGCCCTGTAATAATCTTATTTTTCTTGTTGATACCAAAAAACCCTTAGACACTTGCCTCCCATTTCTCATAAGAGGCCTGTCATTCATGTCAAAATTGAGAATGAAGAAAACTAACATCTGCTCAAGACTGTGACACTTTAGTAACAGGATGTTTTGGAATAGTTCCTGAAAAGCCCCTTCTTAACTCTCTTGCTTGCATTTCTACACTATAATAAGCTTTTAATAATAAATACACCCAAACTAAGAGGTAACAGAAGGTTATTGTAAGGTTATATCTTGGCTGCCTCCTCAAACCACTTTCCCTCACTCAAAATGCTTAAATATTATTACCCCTTATCTATTTGGAATTTCTTTTATTACATTACAAATTTGGTTCCAAAGTCCCATCTCTCATTTCCTCAAGAATCACACCAACTATTTCTTCTGTGTCTAGTAAGTTACTGGACAGCACAAAGGGCAAACTGCAGTTTAAAGGATTCTTCTTCGCTGGTTTCCTCTTTGGATAACAATTCCATCTAATTTGTGTTTAGAGTTGTGTTGTGGTCCTTATTTAGGATGATGTTTACAATTTCACCCTCATGCTCTTTCATATGATCCAAGAGATTCTCTTTGCTGGTAGATTCAAAACCACATATACAACAACAGAAGAGTAAAACGCAATACTCCACGCCAGGAGGGGCTAGACTGGAGTTTTTTTCTAAACTGCATGAGGTATTACTTGCAGGGCTTAGCTTCTCATTCTCATTGGGACCTTTGACTTCACTGGGAGTCTGGGGAATCAGCTCTGAGGATGACACCAAATTTTCTGAACTTGCAGAAGTGAGAGAATTGGCTCTTTCTTCACTGCTGTTTAATACTGTCTTTCCAGAGGATTTCCCCCGAATCCTTAAAACAAAACACATCAAATCTTGAGTTGGTTATAATGCAGACTAGTAGACTTAACTCTACCTTTACAGAAAATGTATATATACGTAGCCATAATTTACTTGTATATAACAGTAAGATCAAATACCTGCCACTCTGTGAGATCGCGTCATTAATGGCCTTGTTCACTTGCTCGTAGTTGTAATTCTGGTCACTGGCGTGTTTCCACATGTGAGACTTCAGAGAAGGGGGGTGGCTGCACACATACCCACACAACGAGCATCTGAAAAACCAAGACGAAGGCAGTCAGGTGATCCCGCGGTTCTGTGACAACTGTTAAATCTGTTCTCCTGAGGACATTAGCTACCACATTTCACTGAATCTAAGATGCCACTGATTGTAAGAGACATACTGCTATCAGAGGCTAACATGTCCTAGTGCGGATCTCTCAGAATCAATGAAATAAAAGTATTTTACATTATAAAGAAATTATAAGAGTCAGGACAAACATCCCATATTACTTTAGCTATCACAGTATTTGGGAAGATTTCTAATATACTAACATGCAAAATCTTTGCACTAAATTATTTAACCACACAGATACACAAATATACAAAATCAATTCTCTATACTACCTATTTCTTAAGAAAGCAAAAAGGAATTAAACAATGTTCAACATTAACTCCATGCTTACTTATAAATTCACAGAAAATATAAGTAGCAGTCCTGAAATGCTTCAACAATGTAGATTTCATAAGTAAAACAGATACTTATCTTAAAGTTTCTAGTCCAAGTAACAATTATTTGACATAACTGGGCACATTCAGTAAAATCTGAACAAATAAACTACTTTAAAAAAATTAACAGATTATTTTTAGAGCATGCTTATGTTTATCCTCTTTTCCCTCTGTACCCAATTCCTCCTATCATTAACATCTTGCATCAGTATGGAATATTTGTTACAACTGATGAACCAATATTGATACATTATTATTAACTAGTGTCTACAGTTTATATTAGTGTTCACTATGTTGTACAGTTCTATGTATTCTGATAAATGCATAATGCCATGAACCCATCATAATAACATGCTAAATAATTTCCCAGCCTGAAACGTCCTCTGGCACTACACCTACTTACCCCTCCCAAGCCCTAACCACCGGCAGTCACCAATCCTTTTATTGTCTCCACAGTTCTGCCTTTGCTAGAATGTTGCATATCTGGAATCATACTGTATTCAGCCTCTTCAGACTGCTTTCTCTCCCTTAGCCATTTGCATGTAAGTTCTTCCATGTCTTTTCAGAGCTTGAGAGGCCCCTCTCTCCATCGCTGAATAATATTCCACCAAGCTACCATATTTGTTACTGTTTTCTATTTGTTGTTCTTGTTCTATTGTTTTCTTCTACTCTTTTGCTGCCTTTTGTGGTTTTCACTGAGCATACTATATGATTCAATTTTCTCCTTTCTTAGCATGTCAGTTATACTTATTTTTTTACTTTATATTATTGGTTTTCCTAGTGTTTGGCAAATACATTTACAGCTAATCCAAACCCACCTTCAAGTAACATTATACTGGCTTCATGGATAGCTCAGGTACATTATGATAAAATAAAGGCATCTAGTTGCTCCCTAATTTTGTCAATTATGAATAAAGCTTCTATTAAACATTCATGTGCAGGGTTTTCTGTGAATATATGTTTTCATCATTTGTGTAAATACTTAACAGCAGAATGTTTATCTTTTTAGGAAACTGCAAACATACTTTTAAAAAGTCATTTTTATTAAATACTTAATTACCAATCTAACAAATCAGGTAACTTATCTGAACTCTTCACCACAACAAGACAGTCAGTAGAGGGGTAAAAGAACCACTTTGAGACATGCCAGAACATTCTGTTCTTAACAAGGTCTGCTCTCAGGAGAAGTTATTTAACCAGAGTCTAACCTACTGGAGTTTTATCAGAGCATAACTGACCTGGGGGAAAGAAACACCCAACTCCAGGCCACTCCAGCTCCAGCTGTCTTGTCCACCAAGGGCTGGGGAGGGAGGGGCCTGAGAAGTACAGCTCACAGCTCAGAGACACAGGCTCACTAAAAACTGAGACCTAGTTTGGACTACAGAACATTTTCCTTCCCTGTACTTTTAACCATCACATTTCTGAAGTCCTACTGACAGCAGAGCTTTTACCCAGTACATCATGCCTGATTGCCAAGAAAAAACTGTAAGACACACTAAAAGGCAAAAACCAAAGTTGAAGAGACAGAGCAAGCACAGGAACAAGAGTCAGATATAGTAGGATGTTGGAATTATTAGACTGCTGATTTAAAATAACTATGATTAATAATTCTAACAGCGCCAATGAATAAAATACATGGCATGGGAAAACAGATGAGTAACAAAGCAGAGAAATGGAAATGCCAAAAAAGAACCAAAGAGAAATCAAAGAGATCAGAACCCTATAAAATGAGATAGAAAAATAGGTAACAGAAATGAGGAGTCCTATAAGGGGCTTATTAGTGGACTGGATACACCTGAGGAAAGAATCTCTGAGCCTGAGGATATCACAACAGATAGAAACCTCCAAACCAAAAAGCAAAATAAATAAATAAAAGAAAGGACTGGAAAAAACACAACAGAATATACAACTATAAAAGGTGTAATCTATGTAACGGGAATACTAGAAGAGAGAAAGGAACAGAAGAAATTTATTTTAAACAGTAATGACTGAGAAGTTCCCTAAATTAACACCAGATGTCAAACCATAGATATAAGCCTCTCAGAGAACACCAAACAGGATAAATGGCAGAAAGACTACACTTAAGCCTATCAGGTTTGAACTATAGAAAATTAAAGAAAAAGAAAAAAGGAGCCAGAGGGAAAGATAAGCAAAGAAGAATTAAATCAAACTTCTCAGAAACAATGCAAGAAGTAGAGTGAACTATTCAAAGTGTTGAGAGAAAAATCAACCAACGCAGAGTTCTGTACCAGCAAACTTACTCTTCAAAAGTGAGTAGATTTAAAGACTTTCTCCAACAAACAAAGTTGTTGGTGGTAAATCTGTCTTGCAAGAAAGGTTAAAGAAGTTCGTTAGAAAGAAGGAAAATGGTAAAGTTCAGAAATGTGGATCTATACAAAGAAAGGAAAAACATCAGATAAGTTATGTTGCTGCTGTTGTTTAATTGCCGAGTCTGAATTTTGGCCACGCCGTGAACTGTAGCCCGTTCCTCTGTAGGAGGAGCTGTAGACAGGCTCCTCTGTCCACAAAATTCCCCAGGCAAGAATACTGGCAGGCGTGCCCATTGCTCCCTCGTGGGGATCTTCCTGACCCAGGGATCAAACCAGTGTTTCCTGCATAGGCAGGAGGATTCCCTGAGCCACCAGGGAAGTCCCAGATAAGGTGTAAAAGAGGGTAAAATAAAAGTTTTTAATTTTAATTCCTCTGAGAGATCACAGTTTGTTTAAAATAATAATAGCAACAACATATTCGATTATGTATGCTTATGTGTGTGTGCACACAGGTGCGCACGTGCATGCACACACACACTCTATGTGTAAGTGAAATGAAAGCAGTAATGCAGATAATGGAAGAGAAGAATTAGGTTATTTTATTACAAGGTACCTGGGATACCCATGAAGCCAGTAATGTTACTTGAAGGTGGATTTGGATTGGCTGTACATGTGTATGCCAAACCCTAGGAATCCATTAATGAAAAGTAAAAAAAAAATGAAGTACAACTGATATGCTAAAAAAGGAGAGAAAATGGAATCATATAACATGCTCAATGAAAACCACAAAAGGCAGAAAAAGAGAAAAAGAAAAAAAATAGAACAAGCACAGCAAATAGAAAACAGTAACAAATATGCAGCTATGAATTCAACTATTATCAATCATCATTTAAACATCAATGGTCTAAATACACCAATTAAAAGACAGACACTGGGACCTTCCTAGTGGTTCAGGGGATAAGGGTGGCCTGCCAGTGCAGAGGACAAGGGTTCAATCCCTGTTCTGCGAAGAGACCCCACTGCACTGAGAAGCCCGCACAGCACAATGACAAGCAGCTCCCACTTGCTGCAACCAGAGAAAGCCCGAGTGCAGTCCCAGTGCAGAGCCCAACGAAGACCCAGCACAACTAAAAACAGAGAAAAGGACAGACTGTCAGGCTGGATCAAAAGCAAGACCCAGCTATATGTTGTCTATAAGAAACTCACTTTATAGACACCTATCAAATGGATAAAGAATATCTAGAGCAAACCTATAGGTAACATCATACTTAATAGGAAACTAAAAGCTTTCCTGATAAGTTTAAGAACAAAGCACAGATCTTGTCTCACCATGCCTTTTCAATACCATAACTGAGTCCTAGTTAATGCGATACATATGTGTATACACATGTATACACAGTTTGTTCATGTACCATCTGATTGTCTACACAGAAAATCTTAAAGCATATACCAAATAACTCCTAGAACTAATTAACTTTGTGTTAATATGTAATTAACAGGGTTAATATATAAAGAAGGTTATTATAAAAGATTAATATACAAAAAAAGTCAATTGCTTTTCTATATTCCAGCCATAAACAAGCAGTATTTGAAATTAAGAACATTTAATCCCACTTACCTTAGCAGTACTGAAAACAAAATATTTAGGTATAAAACTAACAAAATACGTACAAGGTCTGTCTTTATGAAGAAAACTACAAAACTCTGATAAATCAAAGAGCTATAAATGTAGAGTGTCTATACTCATGGATAGGAAGACTCAATACTGTCAAGATGTTAGTTCTTTCCAACTTGATCTACAGATTTCAATATTATTCCAATAAAAACCCCAGCAAGTTATTTCGTGGATATTGACCAATTGACTCTAAAGTTTGCATGGAAGGCCAAAGAACCAGAAGAGCCAACACAATATGGAAAGAGAAGGACAAAGTTGGGAGTGTGACACCACACATCCATGGAATTCATAAAAGATGAGCAGTCAGCAAGGTCTGAGTCACTGAGGGGGACTAAATAGCTGGGATTCAGCCTGTTTTTTTAGGGCAGTGAAACTTCTCTGTATGATACTGTAATGGTAGATACATGTCATTATAATTTGCTCAAATGCACAGAGTGTGCAGTATCAAGAGTGAACCCAAATATAAACTACAGACAGGATTACAATGATGCGTCAATATTGGCTCATCAATCCTCACAAATGTACTACTCTGGTGGGGAATGCTGATGATGGGGGAAGCTATGAATGAGTGGGGCAGACACTATATGGGAAATCTTTGTGC